CTTTTATTTATTAAGGATATTACATTTTCTGTGGGTAGTAACGGAACAAACGTGTTAACTTTCCCAGTAGAAACAAGCAAAAAGAGTGGCCTGAAATAAATGACATTGAACAACTCTTCAAGATATAATAATCTGAAAATTCACCCAGGTTATCTAAACTCCTTAAGTGCAGCCTTTACCCACAGCAGCCACTGCTAAGAGCTCTACACTTGTAAGAAACAGCCAAGGCCCCAAAGTCTTAACAGTATAGCCCAGAGTTTAAGTTTAGGGAGGATCAAAAATTGAGGCAGATATGAGCAAGGGGATCTCTCTCTGCAAAGGTAAAAATCCAATGAATGGGCCCTCTTCCCGCTAGTTGGCTCGTGAGTTTTTGGTCACAGTCATCAGAGTAACTTAATATTCCCAGCTTTTTACATCCATCATGTTATCTCGTGTTTTTATAACTCTTACTTCAAAGGCCCCACAGAGTCCTCAAGTTGATGTAGCTAGGATACCCTGTCCACTTAATGTACTACAGAAATGGGCTTTCTGATTGCACTTCACCCCATCCTCGCACCAAAATTCATCAAGAAAGTTCCTCTTTATTGAGATTCTCTCATCACATACAAACAGTTCTTGACTGTGACTTTAACCTTGGTCATCCACTAGAAATTCTGGTGATCTCTGCCTATATCCAAGAGAGGACTAAATGACATTACCAGAATACTTTCACTATAAAGGTTCTTTGGAATTTAACCACCTAAAAACTTATCTTCCTTCTGGAATTAGCCAAAGAACTGGAATTTCAGTTGACCTTGGCAAGTGAAGACAGAGCTTCAATACAGGAATGCACAGATCCCTTTATTATCTGCATTAGTAACCCTTCTCTTTTCAAAAATGTTTCCAAGGTACATATACATAATGGGGTATTACTCAACAATCAAAAAAAGATAAACTCATGCCATTTGGGGCAACATGGATGGAGCTGGAAGGAACAGTGCTTAGTAAAGTAAGTCAGAAAGAGAAAGAAAAATATTGGATGGTTTCACTCATAGCAGGAGAGTAAGGGATTGGGGGGTGGGAGGGGACTAATTGTAATAAAGTAAAAATGAACAACTATAATCCATAGACATTCTACGGGGGTGAAGAGGGGAAAAGGATCAAAACTGGGGTGGGAAGAGCACATGGGACTATGGTGGTAGCACATGGGTGAACTGGTGGTGGCAAGTCCATGGGGAATACAACTGAGGTGAAAAAATGTACAAAATGAAGAATTTGTTTATATACCTATGTATAATTTAAAATTTTTTTATCAAAATGGTGGGAAAAATTGAAATGAAACCTGAAATATTTTCTCCACTGTTCCTTTATTTAAAAAAAAAAAAAAGATTTATTTACTTTATTTATGCATACAAGAACTGGGGTCTAGGCCAGAGGTATAGGGAATGGGAGGATTCACCAGAGACAGAGTGGGGATAGACAGAAACACATTGCTGAGGACAATAGTGGGTAAGACAGGATAAGTCCGCTGTGCCTTCCACAGGTCTTCTAATGTAATATCTTTCACATCCATTTTCACTTTGTGAACACTGCCTATAACATGTTTCCTAACAAATAACGTCTCTGCATTGTATTTAAATATAAATAAAATACTTGCATACAATATACTACAATAAACAGAGCACCAGGTGACAAGCAATGTCTCATGTGACAGGTATCAATGACAACACACCACATTCATTGTTTAAGACCCACCAAAAAGACAAGCAATTTGGCATGGTATTCTCTTGGACTGAAAAGTCTATAGTTTTTGTGAGACATCAGGCAACTTGCAATCAAGTCACAAGTATGTTTAGGTAACATATGATAATCTGTTAAATCCAATAAACTTTCCTGAATCCTCTGAAGTTGATAATAAAACCAGTAGTGGGACCAACACTTAATATCCGAGTTCTCAGTCTTAGCAGTCACACCATTTATCAAGCAACAATTATGGGCCAAGTTTTATTCTACATATTTTATCTAACCTTTGAGATAATTTAAGAATATTAGACTACCTTTTACAGAAAGTGAAAAAATGAAGGTTATCATATACAAGTATCTTTTATATTATAAAATCTCCAACATACACAAAAGTTGCAAGTATACTGTAAGAAGATACCAACATATTCTACTACGAAAGTTAACAATCATCAAGATTTTTCCACATTTCCTTAAATGATTAATTTTTACTATTTTCCCCAGTTATACCTCCTTATACTAAAAAAATGCACATTTCCTAAAAAATAAAGACAGATTCTTACATTATCACAATATCAAAATCAAACCTACCTACGTCAATATATCAGGTCCTCTAACATCTTCAGAGTCACTAATCAAATGTCTCCAATTTTCTCAAAAAGTCTTTTTACGGTTTGTTGAGATTAGCATCAAACAAGAAACACTGTCATTTATATTAAATTCTCCTCCCCTTTCTTCTTTTCTGACTGTTACAGAGCAAATATCTATTTGAGGTCTCTAAATAGCTCAAATGTCTAAATTTCTATTTGAAATATAAGTCACATGCATAAAATCCATACTTTTAAAGTAAACAATTTTACACAGGCTTTTCAACTCTGTTACCACTATGTTAATCTCAACACTAATTTTAATCACACCAAAAAGAAACCCCACTCCATTAACAATCACTCTCCATCCCCCTTCCCAATCCATGACAACTACTGACCTACTTCCTGTCTATATTTTCTACTATGGACCTTTCATAAGAATGAAATCATAAAAGTAAATACATTTTGAGTGTCCATCAGTTTAACTACCATAAAAGATATGTTAGGACAGCCATATGTATTCTCTCTCTCTCTCACTCTCTCTCTCTCTCTCTCTCTCTCTCTATATATATATATATATATATATATATATATATATATATATAAAATGTATTATATGTGACAAGTTGCATAAAATAGTAAGAAATAAAATCAATAAAAACCAACAAGTTTGTGGTTTTTATGTTTCCTTTCATAACATGAAAGAGAAATAATATTGATGTATGTGAAACACCTCTGGATTACCCTTATATAGCAAAATTCCAGTCTTCTGCTGGATACAATCTCACAATGATTAATGGTTAGTCAAAAATGTCAATTCATCTTAGTGTACAAAGGTAGGTGAGGTTCAGGACCCACATTACAACTTCCCAACTTTTCTCCTTCACAAGAAAACATACTAGAAGGCAAGCCAGAAAATTAAAGATAACCTGTATCTTTGTTTATATTTAGCATATAATTTACAGACTTAAGTGGTTTGTGAGAATAGGAGCAGAGAATAATAAAGCTATAGAAAGACACCCAAATCTGTATGTTTTCTAGTACACAGCATAAACTTTGCAGATTGTTCCTCTTCCAGCCTCGGAATCCCCTTAGCTCATCATCAACCCTACAAAGCTGCTTTGGGGATGAGAGAACAGTACAATTATTAGAAATCTTCAACCATTAGCAATCTTCCCCTTTTGGCATATTGGAGATGTAAAAATAACTCAATAAAGCCCGAAGAAGCAGGGCAAACTGAGCTGACAGTGAATTTTGCAGGTATGAGGAAGGAAGGAGGGTTCAGCCCTTCCTCCCAGTACTAACAAAATGTCACCGGAGGAGCCTTCTTTGCTCTACTCGCCACTCTATCACAACCTGTCACACTGGAGAATTTTTTACCATCAGCACCTCCCTCATTGGTATGAATACCCTTCCTTAAATAGTTTCTCTTACCTTTGTCTATTTTCATTATAACAATCATGTTTTTTTCTTGTAATAATACATCGAGATAAAAATTAAGACTCAAGGAAGGAGACTGTCAGCAAAAATGTACTCTTTTGGGTTACAATTACATAAGCAGTAAACTTCCTCTTCAGTTTCTACCTACTCTTGGTGCGCAATTACAGCATGGAAAGGAGAGGATGATTTTGCCACCATTCCACCGCAGCTTGAATTAGGAGCTAAAGTAAAACACACAGTGAAGGCTTCTGAAGTTCCATGTGAACTCTAGGCATCAATTTCTTAGGGAATGCACACACTCTACCTGTGAGGAACAAAACCCCCCCTCTCCCCGCACACATTTTACCCCTACAGTAGAGATCCAAAGGAGCTGTATTAGAAGGAATTACAACAGTCTCCAAGAAACTTTAGGATTGTGGCAGAATGAGAGTAGCACAACCACCTTAAAAATAATGGCACAAAATAAAAGATTTCATATACAGACCCTCCTCTGTACTTTTAAGAGTAATCTTTTTAAGGTTTTAAAACATTTCACCCATACTAAGTGCTATAATGAAATGCCCAAAGTTACTACCCATGACAGTGGTATATTACAAGCCATTTAGAAGGGGATGGAGACATACACCAATTAATGAAGGTATCAAAATATAGAAGAATGTGTTCATATAATTTTGGTTTATTTTCTAAAACACACACATACAGAAAGTTGCCAGGAGAGACTTAAAATCTTACCAGAGAACATCTAAGGTACAGAATGTGGAAGACAGAAGGAATGGAGAATTTCACTTTTCACTGAAATCCCAGCCTGAATGCATTATTAGTTTATAATGACCAAAAAACAGCTGGAGAATTTCTGAAATTATTTTTTATCCACCTAATCAGTGTTTCTTTATGAAAAGTTCACCCTCTTACATGAGCATGTATCAATACACATGAACAGGAACAGCAGCTACGTTAGAGAGCTGACATTATCCAAGCAGCATAAGCTGCTCCACAAGCTAACTAGATAAACAAATCCCCTGAATATGGCTTGCCCACTTGACCAATTTTTCCAGAAAATCTAATTCAAGATGTCTCACAAATTAGGAAAAAATTAAAATAAAGCATGAATAAAGTAATTCATGTCTAAGCTTCCTTTTGATCAAAAGAAATCAGAGAGTCACATGCATTTCCTGAAAAAAACTAACGTTTTTAGGAAGGAAATTGGGTTCTCTACTGTCATTATTTTTTGGTAAAGACACTGCTGTTTCTTACCTGATCACAAATGAGTTCCCACTTTTTTTCATTGTCATACTGCCGCAGTAACCGGGCTTTGTCAGGGGGTAGGTTCATAGCATTCTGTTAAAAATAGAGAGGGAAAAAAATGTTATGTCACATTCCATAATAAGCTGCTGATGGGTAACTCGTAGACAGGCCAAAGCATACTACTATGGTTCTTTTATGACATCTTTTCAATTCTTAGCATATGATGAAACCAAAAGACCCAACGGAAGCCATTTAAACATCAAATCAGTTTAACAAAGACTCTAAAGTTGTCTGCTGGAATGTCTAAGATCGTCCATTTTGAACTATCAGCCTTGCATTTCAGCAAAGGTAACACATTATTTTATTTAATGGAAGGCCCCCATTCTACTCAAAAAAAAAAGGTCAAAAATTGTTGGGAAGATATCACCCTAATTGTTTGTTAAAGCATTATAGGCACCACTCAGACACAGAACAAAAAACACCAAAAGAAAAGTCAATAATTAGTCTATTAAAAGAGAACATATCAGACCCTCCCTGGTGGCACAGCAGACTAAAGGACAACACTAAAAAGCTAAAGCCACTTCCACTTGAGTTCGATCCCTGCCCCTGAGATGACCCACATGGCGTGGCAGACCTCTCTCCTGACCCCACCCACTGCTCCAAAAAAAATTCACATTTGTTCTCTTGGCCTCCTTAAAGTTTTTGTGCTCCAAACAACTAAGCTAAGCAGTCACCTAACATCTATTACTATTACTCACTACCCCTCTTACCAACAGTAAATCTTACCGATACAGATCCTTGCTTGGATCAACACTTGAGTAGACACATGAAATGCAAAGGTCTTGAAATTTTAATGCTCAAGTCCCAGCTCTCTAAAGGAGTTGACTTGTAGAGAAACAATTCCCCTTGCCATTGTTACTGCCACATAACATCCAGTAAAACAAATTTAGTAAAGGTAAGCTAAGCAAATTATCCTGACTTAATGTATAAAAATTAATCTTTGATGACTTTGACAGCAGTGTACTTCATCAGTCAGCCTGTTCTGCTCCCCACTCTGTGTCTGGTGAATCCTCTCACTGACCCTGAAGCTGTGGCCTGTACCCCAGTTCTGTATGCATAATAAATCTAAAAAAAAAAAGACCATATCAACTTATACTCACTTTAACAGACAACACTAAATAATAGAACCTTTTTATTTCGTTCTTAAAACTGAAAACAATGCAAATAATTATGGTATCTTCCATGATATAATAGCACTCCTTTGGGATACATGTCAACGTTAGCAACCACAATTTTCAGTTAAGCTATTTGTTTTATGAAATTGGATTTGCAGTGAGAAATAAGCTAAAAGGAATGTCTAGACATCAGTACACATATCAATGTCCTCTGTTGATACAGAACAACTTCTGTGGTGGTGGTCATAAATCTGCCCAGGTACGTTCACATTTTTCCAGTCTAATGTCGCAAATGACCAATCAAACACATTTTCAAGATACTTGGCTAGGGTCTGAAGTGAGATCTTTGGCAACAGAACATGAGGAAGTAAATGAGATACAAAAGAAATTCACATCTGTTCTCTTGGCCTCCTTAAAGTTTTTGTGCTCCAAGCAACTAAGCTAAGCAGTCACTTAATATCTATTACTATTACTCACTACCCCTCTTACCAACAGTAAATCTTACCTATACAGATCCTTGCTTGGATCAACACTTGAGTAGACACATGAAATGCAAAGGTCTTGAAATTTTAATGCACAAGTCCCAGCTCTCTAAAGGAGTTGACTTGTAGAGAAACAATTCCCCTTGCCATTGTTACTGCCACATAACATCCAGTAAAACAAATTTAGTAAAGGTAAGCTAAGCAAATTATCCTGACTTAATGTATAAAAATTAATCTTTGATGACTTTGACAGACACAACTCAAGCATTTTCCCTTAAACACAATATAGTAAAGACACTAATACAACTAAGTAGGTGCTAGCTATCAATGTGTATCTAGCCTACTGGAATCTAAGAACCAGGTTTCAGAATAATGAATTTTTAAATTTCCCTCAAAGCTGACAATGAAACCAGAGTCCTGAACTCCAGAGTTTTCAATGTTATTGCCAAGGTTTCTCCATAGGAAAATCTAAAGTGGATATTGTATCCTATTTCCATAGAATATCTACTTTACCAGAATGGAAATTTATTTCTACTCATTTCCTATTACAATTTTACAATATTATACACAACCCTGAGGATAAACAAAGGAGAATTCCCTGTGAACCTTTTGAGGAGGCCATTAAATAACTAGTCCATGCTATTGACCATTAAATAACTAGTCCATCATAGCTTATCTGCACCCTAGAGAGGGATTATTTCCTCTTAAGCTGATTTTGACCCTCATTTAGGTATGATTTTGCACTAAATAAAAACATTAAGATTGTGAAGTAACTTAAAAGACTTTTTCTCCAAATCCTTATTAATCTTCTGTTTTACATAGAGAAGGTAAGAAAGAGAATGTCTGAATTCCAACAAAATGCCTAGCATGCTGCACAAATAATTTCACGTAATCTTCATAACAAGCCCATGAGAGATAAAATTTTCCCTACTTTATGTACGGGAAAACAGACCTGGGAGAACTTCGTTGACTGTTTCAAGGTTTGACAGCTTAAAATAAGCCAAATATGACCTAACTTCTTAATCTTCTAGACTCTCAAGGACAAACACCAAAGACACCACCAAGACTTTTTTGCTGCAAGGCAAAATGGGAAGTAACTGACTATTTTAGTATTCTAGTTGACACTCATTTGGAAGCAGTTTGTAATAAGCACTAGTACAGGAATCAAATGCTGTTCTGCAAAAAAAAAAAAAGGCCCCCTTTTTCAGTTGAATTTTATTTTTAATCAAAGTCTTATCCAACAAATGTTTATGAAGCAGCATCCCTTCCTGTACAAGCACTGTACTCCATGTGCCGGGGGACACATTACAGACATGATACCTACGGAGCATCCTATTAGATTCAGGACATAGAAGGCTTATCTTCAAAAACCTAGAGTATAATGCATACAAACAGTAATTATCAAACACACCTTATATAAATACCTTTGTTTTCAAAATTTCAAAATTAAAAATTGCAAGTGTTAAATTACCAGATTCTAAAACAGAATCTCTTCTATTATATAATCACCTATGTTGTATAGAAAGAATAAAATTCACAAACTGAAGTATTGTTTAAAAAGAGGCAGGGAAAAGCATGCCACAAAAGAAACAGTTTAGAGAATGAGAATCTGTGAAGAGTTGTTAAAGATTTAGAAATTTCATAACTCAAAAGAAGAAATCATCATTTTTTCTTAAATTTGTGATAAAAAATACAGGCAATAAAATTTACCTCTGACCCACTACAGAGGTATAATTCAGTAGCATTAACTATAGCATTAACATAGCAGTGACCTGTGTTGAAATTCTATACCCAAACAACTCCCCACTTTAGCATTTCTAGGAACCATTACTTTTTGCTAAAAAAAAAAAAAAAAGAAAGAAATTCGGGCTCTCCCTGGTGGCACAATGGGTTAAAGCACCATATTATGAAACTCTCTGAAGCCACTGCAGCAGGAGTTCAATCCCCAGCCAGGAAGCTGACCCACATGGTGTGGCAGACCTCTCCTGACCTGCCCACTGCTCCCCTTAGCAGTGTACCTTGTCAATCTGCCTGTTCTGCTCCCCACTCTATCTCTGGTGAATCCTCTCATCCACCACATCTCTGGCCTATACCCCAGTTCTGTAAGCATCAATAAATAAATCTTTTTTTAAAATGCAAGAAAATGTGAAGGACTGCACCAGAATGTTTGGGCAGCAGAGTAAGGAATGGGACTTAATGAGAAGTACAGAATAGAGATAGTTGGGATTCTCATGTTTTATTAGCTGGATTCCAATCTTGACTCTAGTTATTAGTGTTCCTAGCTTACACCATTTGAATTAAAAAACAAATTAAAATGAACAAGCACATTGTTACCTCAACTTAAATTTGTTAATAAATTACTAAATAAAATGAACTAGTCCAAAGTTGAAAAAGTCAATCAATGTAACTCAAAATTAAAAATGAGATCTAGCATCAAAATAAAGGGTCAAAAATAGTTATTGATTATTAGACATTCTCAAGCACTTAGGCTTTGCATGCATTATTCAACTTGATTATTTGATAGTCTGGGTAAATAGGTATTATCTTCTCTACTTAACAGAGAAGGAAACTGTAGGTCCAAGAGGCTGAGGAAGTCATCCATGCATAATATAGGTGGCAAAACCAGGACTGAAAACTTGTCTGCATGATCATCATCTTTCTATGATACACTACAGTGTTTCTATACCATAACATATCTGGACTAAGCAATCCAACAATTCGACTTGATTGAAACTAGAGACATAATAATTAACATGAATGGTTATGGCAAAAAACACATAGTCATATTTTAGTAAATAATCGTCTCAGGAAAAAAAATGGCAATTTAACAGAATTATTCATAGTCTTTAAAATATATAAATTAGAACCCTCGAAAAGTTACTGGGTCATATCTATACATAGATAGTTACCATGTTAAATCAGCAACACTAGTGGCACAGAGGTGAAAAACAGTGCATTCAAGCTATCAGCAGCTATAAGTAGCCACTGCGGCATGAGTTCGAACCCCAGCCAGGGAGCTAATCCACATGGCTCAACAGACCTCTCCTGTCTAGCCTGCTGTTACCGTAAAATAAAACCAAATGAAGGTAGAGCTATAGATTAAGTGGTTAACTCAGGTTTCAATGAAGTAGAGGGGAGAAATAAGTATACAAATGCAAAACAAAATATAATAATTGCAGAATAGGACCTTAGAGTAGAGGCTGTTAAAGCAGCCCATTGGAATCCTCAAGTCACGCTAAGTAAAGGGTTCCTGCTCTGTTACTTCTTTCCACATTGCCATTTTCCCTTTTTATCATTAGTAGGACATTAGTCTGAGTCACCTGATTCTGAATAATGTACCAATTTTCCTGTAAGTTCACTTAAAAATTTTAACATTTGAGGGCAGCAGAAAAGTATTTACAAATTCAACATATGATCTGTCCCCTCAGTTCAACTA